ACCGCCATCGGGATTTTTTTTTTAGCAAAGACATGTAGCAGAATACATTTTGGCCTAAATTTATGACGGAATTTGATTTTTTTTTTTTTTTTTTTTACTGGACATGTTAATTTGCAAATAGTCAAAAATATTGTTTTTTTTTTCTCAAAATTGTCTTTTTTTATATAGCCTAAAAAATAAAAAAAATGCACAGGCGATCAAATACCATCAAAAGAAAGCTCTAATTATGGGAAAAAAGGATGTAAATTACATTTGGGTGGAGCGTTGCATGACCGCGCTATTGTCAGTTAAAGTAATGCAGCGCCATAATGCAAATAATGGCCTGGTCAGGAAGGGGGGTAAATCATCTGGAGGGCAAGTGGTTAAACATATGGATAAAATCTATTTATATACTTTAACTAGTTACTTTAACTGACACAAGTTGATGCTACTAAATTTGGTCTGGACATCTAGGTCTCGATGTCTGGTCACAGAAGCATTTAAAAAAAAAAAAAAAAAAAGCAAAATTAGCTTTCTGAACTGAATAAGCTGAACTTTTCCAGAGCTTTGACCTACTGTAAGCGCCAACCTACTACTTCTTCCTGAGCTAGCTATCATTGTCACTGGCTAAAGATCTGATGTGGTGGAAGAAGTGCCGTGAAAGGCTAAGTGACCATGTGCTCATAAGAGCCTCTGCAGCCATCACAGCCGAACCCTGCCACTCACCGAGTGATTTGTAATACTGCTTATAAACTAGTTTTGGCCTCTGTGAAGCGTGGTGAGTGCTGGTGGCTGTTTTTTTTTCTCTTTGTAATTGATTAAATCAAATATTGTATAACTCTGTTGCTCACTGTGCTTCAAGGGACATTGGATCATTTTCAGCAATTACAAGTTTCTTACTTAAATCAAAGTATTGATTTCTCTTCAGTTAATATAAATTCTCAGGCATATTTTGTAATGGAAATGTTTCATTACTGTTCACCCTCTTTGGTTTTACCCTTAATTAGGAAAAGTTACTAAGTAAAAAGTGAAATCAAGGAACATAATTAGAGTATTGAAATACGATATAACTTTCTTTTTCTTCAAGTGATATTCTACTTGAGTGAGATTTTCCTGAATTTAATCAGGATTAATTTGGGTGCACATTCTGCTCTGTGACATGATTTCATGGATATGTAAATAGTGCAGTCTGTGTTGGACTTTTCATTTCATTAATCCAGTTATTTTTCTGTGGGGTGTATTTATTGAAATTCTTTCACATAAGTAAACCTATTATAGGTTTAATAAAATAATAAAAAATTGGGTACACTAGGATTAATAATTTACTGACAGCCTACCACAGATATACTGTGGCAGAGCTGCCCTGCTGCAATGGATCACATACATGTAATGATGCATGTAAAGCAGGGAGTAAAAATGGCACATTGCTTAGTAAAAACAACACAGTAAACCTTGGTAGGCACACAGTTAACCCTTTGATTTCCCCTAAATGTTAACCCCTTTCCAATCATTGTCATTAGTACAGTGACAGCGTATATTGTTAGCACTGATCACTGTATTAGTTTCACCGGTGATGTCAGTGTCAATTTGTCAAATCCTACCCAGCATCAGTTCGTGTCTGAACCTACCGCACTTTAACAATCCCACTATAAGTCGCTGATCACTGCCATTATTAGTGTAAAAAATATATACAGTATATATATATAAAAATTCCAGTATATAGCACAGTTTGTAGACTCTGTCATGCAAACCAATGAATATTCTGATATTGGGCTCTTCTTTTTTTTTATCAAAGACGTGTAGCAGAATACGTTTTGGTCTAAACTTATGAAGAATTTTGATTTTTTTTTAAAAAATGTGTTGAATATGTTTTATTGCAGAAAGTAAAAAATACTGTTTTTTTTTTCCCATAAAAATAAAAAAGCCAGTTGTGATCAAATCCCACCAAAAGAAAGCTCTGTTTGTGTGAAAAAATGATATAAATGTCATATGGGTATAGGATTGCATGACTGCTCAATCACCAGTTAAAATATCGCAGTGCCGAATAGCAAACAATGGCGTGGTCATAAGGGGAGGAAAACCTTCCGGAGCTTAAGTGGTTAAAAAATAAGGTGCATTATTTAGGATGTGTTACCCTTACAGCTCTCTCAAAGATACTGTGGGAAATAGGAGCAGTCAAATAGTGCATGGTTCACATGTGGAATAGCTTTAGTCATATGAAAAGAACGAACCGAGTGTTTTAAATGCTTTAACCCTAACTCTCGCTCACTTTTTTTTTTTTTATTTTGGATAAAATGGGAAAGAGAATATGTTTCTCTCAGGTTGTTGTTCCTGTCTGTGCCTGACTTCCCATCCTGATAGCAAACACAAGACAAGATCAGCTCACTGAGTGTGCTGACCAGAATCAAAAAAATGTTAACCACTTGCCCTCCTGAGGATTTTACCCCCCTTCCTGACCAGGCCATTTGTTGCGTTATGGTGCTGCATTACTTTAGCTGACAATTGAGCAGTCATGCAATGCTGCACCCAAATGAAATTTATGTCCTTTTTTCTCACAAATAGAGCTTTCTTTCGGTGGTATTTGATCGCCTGTGCGTTTTCTATTTTTTTGTGCTATAAAAAAACAGAACTATTTTTGACATTTTGCTATTAAACATGTCCAGTAAAAAAAATTTTAAAAATCAAATTTTGTCATAAATTTAGGCCAAAATGTATTCTGCTTCATGTCTTTGCTAAAAAAAAAATCTCAATGCATGTAAATGAATTGGTTTACATTAAAATTATAGCGTTTACAAATGGAGGTATATATACTGAGCTTTTTTTTTTTTTTTAACTAGTAATAGCTTTTATCAGCAACTTATAGCGGAACTGCAGTGGGCATTCTGACACTGGAGGGAGCTGACTTGGTGTTACTGACATCCCCAGCGACACCAATACAGTGATCAGGTCTAAAAAGCTCTGACACTGTATTAATGGCATTGGGCAGCAAGGGGTTAACATGTGTGGCGATCAAAGGGTTAACTGTGTGCTATGTGCAGTTTGTAACTGTGTGGCTGTTTGTGCTTCACTGTAAGCACACTGCTTTGCATGGCTGTGCTATGCAAAGCAGTGTGCAGGAGCTGACGGGAGAGAACTGTTTTGTTTACAAACAGTTCTCCCCCCATCATAGATGCTCGGCAATCACTGGGCGCTGGCGAGTAATTTCTCTCCTGTCAGGTGCCACCACAGCAAGCAGCTTGCTATGGGGGCACCCGCTGCTCTGTGTGTCCATTCACACACGGAACCACAGCTTGGGCCCGCCCCCACTCTCATTGGTTCACTGGCTGTGATTGACAGCAGTGGGAGACAATGGCTCCTGCTTTTGTCTCAGTCAATGAGAAGAGGGAGTCCCAGGATAGCCAAGACTCCAGTGCACATTGCTGGATTGAGAGGGGGCTTATTAGGGTGGATGCTGCACACAGGTTTTTTAGCTTCATGCACTGAATGCATGTTGGTAAAAAACCTTCAGCCTTAAGAACCACTTTAAAGCTAAGCTCCAGGAACAAAGCTTCATTGAAATACTGTACATTGCTTAATAGCCACAAAGAATATACAATACCTTGAAAAACTATGCATGCCCCTTGAAATCTTCCACATTTTGTCATATTACAACCAAAAATATAAATGTATTTTATTGGCATTTTATGTAATAGACCAACACAGAGCTGCACATAATTGTGAAGTGGAAGGAAAATGATAAATGGTTTTCAAAATGTTTTTACAAATGAATATGTAAAAAGGTGGCGCACATTTGTGTTCAGCCCTCCTGAGTCAATACTTTGTCGATCCACCTTTTCTGCAATTACAGCTGCACATCTCTTTGGGGATGTCTCTACTAGCTTTGCACATCTAGAGAGTGACATTTTTGCCCATTCTTCTTTGCAAAATATCTCAAGCTCTGTCAGATTGGATGGAGAGCTTCTGTGAACAGCAATTTTCAAGTATTGCCACAGATTCTCAATTGGATTTAGGTCTGGACTTTGACTGGACAATCTTAACACATGAATATGCTTTGATCTAAACCATTCCATTGTAGCTTTCGCTGTATGTTTAGGGTCGTTGTCCTGCTGGAAAGTCCACCCCAGTTTCAAGGTTTTTGCAGACTCTGACAGGTTTTCTTCTAAGATTGCCCTGTGTTTGGCTCCATCCATCTTCCCATCAACTCTGACCAGCTTCCTTGTCCCTGTGAAGAAAAGCATCCCCACAACATGATGCTGCCACCACCATGTTTAACGGTGGGGATGGTGTGTTCAGGGTGATGTGCAGTGTTAGTTTTCCACCACACATAGCGTTTTGCTTTGAGGCTAAAAAGTTAAATTTTGGTCTCATCTGACCAGAGCACCTTCTTCCACATGTTTGCTGTGTCATGGCAACTCGAAAACTGGACTTCTTATGGCTTTCTTCTTCCCTCTCTTACATAAAGGCCAGATTTGTGGAGTGTCTGACTAATAGTTGTCCTGTGGACAGATTCTCCCACCTGAGCTGTGGATCTTTGCAGCTCCTCTAGAGTTACCATGGGCTTCTTGGCTGCTTCTCTGATTAATGCTGTTCTTGCCCTGCCTGTCAGTTTAAGTGGACAGCCATGTCTTGGTAGGTTTGCAGTTTTGCCATACTCTTTTCATTTTCGGACAATGGGTTGAACAGTGCTCCGTGAGATGTTCAAAACTTGGGATTTTTTTTATAACCTAACCCTTCTTTAACCGCTAGCCTACAGGGCACTTATACCCCCTTCCTGCCCAGGCTAATTTCCAGCTTTCAGCGCTGTTGCACTTTGAATGACAATTGCGCGGTCATACAACACTGTACCCATATGAAATTTTTATCATTTTTTTGTGACAGAGCTTTCTTTTGGTGGTATTTAATCACCTCTGTGTTTTTTTAGTTTTTCTTAAACCAAAAACCACTGAAAATTTTGGAAAAAAAAAAAAATGTTTTTCTTTGTTTTTGTTATAAAATTTTGTAAATAAGTGATTTTTCTCCTTCACTGATATGCGCTAATGAGGCTGCACTGATGAGCACTGATAGGTGGCACTGATGGGCATTGACAGGCATCACTGATGGGCACTGAAAGGAAGCACTGATAGGCGGCACTGATATATGGCACTGTTAGGTGGCACTGACTGGCACTGTTAGGTGGCACTGACTGGCACTGTTAGGTGGCACTGACTGGCACTGTTAGGCGGCAGTGACTGGACCTGATCGGCGGCACTGACATGGCACTAATAGGCGGCACTGATAGGCGGCACTGATGCGCACTGATAGGCGGCACTGATGCGCACTGATAGGCGGCACTGATGCGCACTGATAGGCGGCACTGATACGCACTGATAGGCGGCACTGACTGGCATTGATGGGTGACACTGAAAGGCAGCTCAGATGGGCACTGATATGTGGCATTGATGTGCACTGGTAGGCACTGATATGTGGCATTGATGTGGCACTGATGAGCACTGACACAAGGCACTGATGGACACTGACAGGTGGCACTGCTGGGGCTACACTGATCATCAGGGCACACTGATCATCAGTCCCCTGATGGCCAGTGTACATGTCCCCTCCGCGGAAAGCCGATTACCGGCTCTCCTCTCGAGCTGTCAGCGTGACAGCTCGAGATGAGAGAAATGCCGATAACTGGCATTTCCCTGTTTACATGTGATCAGCTGTGATTGGACACAGCTGATCACATGACCGAGCCGACATCTTCGGCTCTTTCCGTGATTGGTGATCCGCTGTGTCTGAGGGACACAGTGCACCGCCGATCGCCGTGCTGTGCGCTCAGAATGGGAGGAAGTCATATGACGTCCTCCCAGAACAAGAGAACCACCTTGCGCCTGTCATTGGACTATATGGCAGGTGGGAGGTGGTTAAACTTCTCCACAATGTTATCCCTGACCTGTCTGATGAGTTCCTTTTGCCTTCATGATGCTGTTTGTTCACTAATGTTCTCTAGCAAATATACAACATATAATCTGAATGTACAATTTTTGTACATTCTTCTGTTAATCTCACCATACATTTCAATCTGATTGCACATTATTTTTTAGATCTACCAAAAACTATATAGTGCAAGGGTCTGGCTGATTGGATACTAATTGATTGGTTAGTTTGGGTAGGTCATATTACATAATAATGTTAAGTCGAAAGTTGATTATACAAATGCTGTATGGTTAGGTTGTAACTTGGATGTTGACCTTTAGATGTACCAAAACTATCTAATGTGAAGACAGACCCGTGAATTTGCATCAAATTGGGCAACCCTGCAAAGTACATAGTTAATGACAGATCCAAAGGAGATTGTATAGTGTATGGTCATATTTACAGACTTGAAGTAGTTCTAAATCTAAAACATGTTTAAAATGCATTCCCTGCATTAAAAGTGACTGTAAAGGGATTATAAAAAAATATCAAACATATTATACTTACCTGCTGTGTGCAATGGTTTTTCACAGAAGGGGGGGGGAGGTCACAGCGGCAGAGAATTTTTTAACCTTATATGCTGTGGCTCCCATGGTAATTGTATGGGAGCCACAAAGGATTGGAGCTGGAGGACACAGTTGTGATGGGGAAAGGGACTAGTAAGGAAAGGGGGGTGGGGGTTGCAGTTTAGCAGCTAGTCCGGAGAAGTGGAGGGGATGAAGCAGCGGGTGGGAGGCACAGCAGCTGTGGGGGGGGTCCACATTTGAGGTTGATCTCTCTGAACAGAAGCTTGTTAGCCGCTAATCAGAGCTGTTATTTTGTTCAGCAGAGTCTGCTGAACTTTTCTGCTATATTTTCACTGACATTCAAGTAACCATGAGTGTACAGCAGAAATGTGAGGAATGTCAGGTCCGTGTGGCGTACGGACCTGGCCAGCTGGAAGCAGTGCTGTAGGTTCATATGCCGTACAGACCTGGCAGCAAAAGAGTTGATGAATAGAATGCATTAAGGTAAAAAAAGATCCTTTGGCCTTTAGAACCACTTTAGGGTAAAAAATGCATTTTACAACTTGCTGTGCTCCACCATGACCATCAGCCAGTTTGGTAAAAGCAAAATAGTTCATTTATTTGAATGGCTTCAGCCAAAGTCAATAAACAGTCCAAATCCTGGTCACAAAACTAAACTGCAGGCTCACCGCCAATCTTCGGTCCCATACAGGGGTTAAGCTCCTCCATAGTAAATGTGCCAGGCAGACCTGCGTCTCAGCTTGTCTGACAGCATACACTTGCCACATAGCTTGTGAATCTCTCTTTCGGTCACTTTCTTGACACAGGTATTCATTTTCCTCTGCTGCCTTTTAAGCCTCCCTCACCCAGGACGTAACCCCTTTGGGAACAAAGTACTGGTAGTCATGGTTTGGAGTCTCTTCCTGCCCAAGTCTGTGAACCTCTGAAATCCCTAATACAAATTTAGCAATCTTAAGAGTACTGGAAATCAGTCCTCCCCAGCCAAACTTAACCCGGCATACCTCATCCTGCATGGGTGAGAACCCCTTAGTACCAAATGTCTTTACAGCTGTCCCCCTTAAAGGGACCAGAGCCTAATTCTTTGGGAAATGTGCCTGCCTTCCAGGACACATTTCCAGGTGTCCTGTACATTCCTTAAATACTTACCTGAGTCCTCAATCAATCCAGTGTTGTGCCCAGCTTCACCTCTTCTGGCCCCTCTCCCTCTACTTACAGGGATTGAAGCAGCAGCAGGAGCCATTGGTACCTGCTGCTGTCAATCAAATGTTGCAAGGAGGGATTTGGTGGCCAGGCCAAGCCACACTGTGTTTGACTGTGGATGCACACAGCCCGACTCAGGATCAAACCCACACATCTGCCCTCATAGCCAGAGGTTTGCTATGGGAGCAGACGAACAGGAGTTGGAGTGGACAGCATTGGCAGGGGACCTCCAGAAGAAGTGGTTTGGGGCCGCTCTGTGCAATACCATTGCTCAGAGCAGGAAAGTATTACATGCTTATTATTTCAATGAAAAAAAAAAAAAATTACTTTAGAAACGCTTTTAAGTATGTACAAAGCCAAGGGTTTTTTTAAATTATTTTTTATTTATTATTCTTATTATTATTATTTTGGTGGGGCATAGTAAAATACATCTTTCGTTGTTGTGAGCACTGTAGATACCTTTGTGTTTAGGGGTTAAGTTCTTTCCTATGTTGGTGAGCAATAGATAGTTTTATGTGTGTTTCCTGTGTTTATTTGGTGATTTTCAGGATTTTTTGCAACGCTGTGCTTGTCACTTAACACGTGGCCAGTTATAACCACTTTCTGCATGTTAAACTTCGTGTTTATCAAAGCTTTTTATTTCAGCACAAAAACACATTTTTCATTGTTGTGCCAGTTAGCATAAGCTTTTGAGACATTGTTTTGCTTATCCCAAGGACATCTATCAAATCTCAGAACCTCTGTTAAACGCTTACATTTTTCTTTTCTTAAATAGAACATCACTATAAAAAGAAGAGACAGCTATACATCATTATGTTGATTATGACAACTCTTGATGCAGTCAATGCAGATTGACACACATATTAATCACATAACAATGCAAGATTTGCTCATCTTCTTAATAACACTTTTGAAGATTGTGAAGATAGATCATCTCTGAAATGTGAACAGTTACCCCACATACAGTATATGCTTGACTCTGTACTCATTGCTCATACAAATTAATTCACTTTTAATATATAATGATTTTTTTTCCCACAATGCAACCTTATGCAACAAAGGTACAGATGTTGAAAACAGCCTGAAATTTGGGGAAATAAATGGCATAGGACAGTAGTAAACCAAGGAGCACATTTGTAAAGCAGTGAATGTAACAGACCTGTAATTTAAAACACATGCACACCCGGACAATACACATGCACTGAATGTTTGCTGAAAGTCACATTTACTGCTTTATGAATATACCCCCTTTTATGTTGCACCACAGTAATTTTACAGCCATAACTTGTGAGCTCTCCTTACTGTTTCCCTTTATTTTGTAAAGTGCTGCACAAATGGTTTGTGCTACATAAATCCTGTATATAAATAATAATCTTAGGGGAAGCACAGAATACAGAGATGGTGATTTATAGTTATTGCCATTATTTGTTGACAGGTAGCACAATTAGTGTGCTTCTCAAATGCTATTATTATGGTCATTCGTAAATATGTTCCTGTTTTAAACCTGGAAAGGTTAAGAATAGAGTGAAAAATACTGCAGAAGTGTCTTAGGGGCAGTGCACGCTGGAAAACAATGTGAATGGATTGACATTAGACAGTCCATTATATATTTTCATTTTTTTTTTTTTTTAATTAAATAGTGAACTTATTCTTTAAAGTTCCAGTAGTATATTAATCCTGGTATTTTAAGGCACAAGAGCTGAGAATGTTGATGTAGAGCTTTTCCATCAGTCACTTACCATGCCAGGGTTGCTTCCTGTAGGCCAGGCATTCTATAGTGTCCAGCATCCAGATTCTTCAGGAATATCTCCCAGGAGGGGAGGACCCTGCTTTTCAGCTTCTGGGTCCCAAGGCCTGGGGAAAGGGACATATCTTTACAGTAGAAATCCACACAGGCCAGAAGCCCAGGAGGGAAGAGACAGAATCAGTTAACGTTTTATTAAAGGCTAATTAAAAAACAAAACAAAAACATGTTATACTCACCTGCTCTGTGCAATGGTACTGCACAGAGTGGCTTTGATCCTCCTCTTAGTGTATCGCCTGCTGGTTATCTTGGCTTTGCCTCTTCTTAGTTTGTCCCCATAGAAAACCGCACTCCGTAGACTCACACAGCAGGGCTTAGCCCTGCCCCCCGCTTCCTCCTCACAGCATTTGATTGACAACAGCATGGTTTTGTATTAGAAGAGTCCGGGTGCTTAACTGGCCTACCTGCAGTCCAGACCTTTTACCAGTTGGAAATGATTGGTGCATCTTGAAACAAAAAATACGACAAATAGGACTTGTTGAGCACTTAGAATCCTGTATAAGGTAAGAATGAAACTACATTCCTCATAACTCCAGCAATTGATCTCCTCAGTTCTTACATTTACAGAATGTTATTTAAAAGAGGAATAGCTACTGCACTGTGGTAAACATGGCCTTGCCCCAGCTTTTTTGAGATGTGTTGCTGTCATCAATTTCAAAAGTATCTAAAATTGTACATTTTCTTATAAACATTATTGTAAATAAAATATAGGTTTATGAGATTTGCAAATCAATGCGTTGTGTTTTTATGTAGATTTTACACAGTGTCCCCACTTTTTTGAAATTTGAGTTGTACTTCCTAATGTGTTATAATATACAGAAATAAGTTGTGTATATAGTGATTCTTAAATCTGAACTTAACCTCTTCACGCTGGCAGCACACAAATGTGCGGCCTCCCGGCATCTGGGCCTAG